CGGCCCCTAGCAGGGGCTGGCGGGCCCAGAGGAGCTGGAAGCTGCTCCCACCGACCTCTACCTGAGTGCTGCTGAGCTCCAGCCCACTGAGAGCTTGCCCCTGGAGTTCAGTGATGTAAGTTTTCTGCAGGGGGTTTTTAGGCCGTGGTGTCCAAGAAAAGCTCCCCCTGAGTGCTGCTGTGCCGTGAGGTCCCCATGAAATGGAATCGTGGTTGGAAGAAGAGACCTTGAAGGGCATGGAGTCCACCTGTGCCCCCAGCACGGGCAGGTCCCCACTGCCCCGTGTCCCTCACACCACATCCCCACAGCTTGGGAACCCCTCCAGGGGTGGGGACTCCACCACTGCCCTGGGCAGCCTGGCACAGCCCTGGGCAACCCTCTAGGGCAAGAAATTGTTCCTCAGGGGCAACTGAAACCTCCCCTGGGGCAACTTGAGGCCATTGCCTCTTGTCCTTGGGAGAAGAGCCTGACCCCCACCTGGCTCCAGGCTCCTGTCAGGAGGTGTCAGAGCCAGAAGGTCTCCCCTGAGCCTCCTTTGCTCCAGGCTCAGCACCCCCAGCTCCCTCAGCTGCTCCCCCCCACACTTGGGCTCTAGACCCTTCCACACACCCTCGGGGAGCTGGCTGGGAGCACACGTGGGCATCGTGTAAACTACACGGAGAACACAGAACTACTTTTACTCTTGCTGGCCTGGGGAAGGAGTCTCTTGAACAACGTGCAGGAATGTGAGAGCTTTGGGAGATGTTTGTTGCTGTAGTTTTGGTGACTGCTCCTTTAGAAGCACTGTGCTCTCATTTAAATCCGTATTTAGGGGCTTTTTAAAAAGAGGATTGTTTTCCCCCCTCTTTTCTCCCACGAGAAATCCATGAGGATTTTAATCCCCAGATTATTCTGATGTCCTGGATGTATGTTAAGCCTACATGCTTAAAATCCCTTGAAATTTGTTTAAACAAAGAAACACCGTGGGGTCAATTTGGAGCCTCTCCTCTGAACGAGGTGTCACTTCCCTCAGTTATTTGGATGCCCCTGAGATTCTTGAGCACTCTTGGGAGGCAAATCTCAAGAAAATCTCCAATCTCCTGCACCCTAGGTGGGTGAAGTTGCCCCTTGTGGGGTGCAGACATCACACCTTGGTGTCAGCCAGCCTCCAAAGATAAACCAGACCCCGGCCTCTGGCGCCAGCAGCGAGCTCGGGGACCATCCCTTGTGTTGGGGCGAGCAGAGTGGGTTGTGTGGAATCCCAGGAAAGGGGTGACTGCTCCATGTGTCCCAAGGAGAGCAGGATTGGACCCGTTCCCAACCCTCCTGGCTGCTGCACAGCACGCTGGGCTCTCACCGTGCACCCCACACCTCGTGTTGGGTGGGAGCGTGGTGCTGCTGGGTGGGATCCTGGCGTTCTGGAGGAGGAGGAGGAGGCTCCTGGAGCTGCATTCCCGAGGCTGGGAATCCCAGTGGCACGGTCCCTGCTGCTCTGCTTCCCTCCTTCCATGCCCACAAAGCACTGGAGCCATCTGCTCCTCTGGGATCCCTCCTGCTGCTGAGCCGCCCCCGGTGTTTTCTCTCCTAGGACCTGGACGTGGTGGGTGACGGGATGCAGTGTCCCCCCTCCCCTCTGCTCTTCGACCCTTCCATGGCCCTCGAGCAGTCCCTCAGAGACGTCTCCGAGGCCCCTATAGACATTCTGGCTCTGGAGGAGCCTTCCCACCCCGGCCTCCCACCGCAGACAGACAGAGGGACCTCCTCTGGCCACATCTTCTCGCCGGGC